CGAGGAGCTGCCGAGATCTCTCACAGGGTATCCTCTGCCGCACCTATCCCGGGCTTTAATGTTAGTTTTTGTTCTTTCGACTCCTGCAAGTTTGGTTTTTGTTTGTTTGTTTGTTTGGATGATGGATTTGTTTTTAGTTTTTTAGTTTTTTTGGGTAGATTGGATTGGAAATTGGTAAAGTTCAGTTCTTTTGTCAACAATTTAGGAGTTGAGGTCTAAATCTTTGGCTGGCGATGCATGCCTTTAGGACCATGATGGTCAATTTTACAAATTCGAGAGTTAATGATAACCATCAATTAACATCCAATATAGGATGAAGGAGATTATTAGGTATTTAGGTTAGCTATAGGTAATAGGAATAACTTCCATCTGTTTTCCTTTTCGTATCGTGTACTTATTGTTATATGATCTATATAAAATGAAGTGACAATTGTAAGTGATTTTTCCTTTTTGTGTTAAACAATGAGAATATGGTGACATATATGTCCTTTCCATAATAAAATTATTACTAGATCAGTTCTCCTAGAAAATGCAGAAAAATACTAGATAGTCTAAAAATTATAACATTTTTTCGTCATTTTAAGTTTAGCTTGCTATAACATATAATCTTATTGTTTGGTAGTACCTTAAATCTTTGAGTAGCGTGCATGAAAAGTTAGGTACTGGATATCGGTTCCATTATAAGGCACAAGAACTAGTTAACTTCGGGAGCATGTACCATCAAATAAGTCTTTTAAGATCAACGGAGTACATGAGTCCATGCTTACTTGAGAAACACCAGCTTGGGGGAGTCAGTTATAAAGGGGAAGAGTAACTTAACACACATGGATTTAATATCATCATGTCATTGTTAGAGAGAACATGATTTTTCCATAGATTTGGGTAGAAGTTTATTCTGTAACTCCTGATCTCCCAAATATTCCCCATCATACTAGCAAGGACATTGTAGTGCTCGGTTTATTTTGATTACTCAACTGGTCTGATTATGGTTATAGTGTGTTTTCAAAGGTTTAAAATTGCGTGGGATGTGCAAGTGCATATCGCACAAATTCAGCACAGTTTCTTAATGCAACAGTTTCTATGAATAGTGGCAAAGGCACATTCAAGTCAAGATTGTGAAAAATCCAATGTACCTTTTATGAGATAATCAATTTGTGTATGGCAGCAACATATGATGTCCCTTGGATGTTTTGATTTTTAATTGATCTAATATTTCGGAGCATTATTATTTAAGATAATCAAAGTTTCACACCATGAAATTTTGCTAGTTGCCACTTGCCAGCACCATGATACTTGGGGACTAGCACAAAGTCTCTAATCATGTCAAATGATACCCAATTTAAACAAATTTAGTAATGCTTATTGTCTGAATTATCTACGTGCAAAATTAAAGGAGAATAGGAGATTCAGTGATGAATCATTTTTCATAAATCAGGATATAATTGGTATTTTTAGTTTTACACCTTCAGTTACTGTCTCATAAACTTTCTTATAGGTTCTTCATTTATGTGCTGATTTTTTTAGTTCTTTTTAAGTTTGTTGAATAAATGGTGATTATATCTTTTTATTGTATAAAACAAATTGAGTCCAACAAACCATTAGTTTCTTTTCTTAACCGTTCATATTAATGTTATAAGAGTTTCTGATGTTTTATTGTTGACTATGTTGCATGGGTATGGGTACGAGACACGACAAATTTGTAAAAGGTAGGGTACAAGGATACAACTATATAAATATTTATATATGCATACATTATATATTGGAATTAATAATCTATATGAGAACAAGGATGAGAATTATAAATACTTCTTCTGATGTTCTATTTCTTTTATTATCTGGATTTTAAATTGAAAAAACCACTAGTTTTTGAACTAGACATCCAAACAAACCTTCAGAATAATAAATTGGAACACGACCTATGCCCAACGAGTTTCAAGAAGTGGATGTGAAATATAGATATATGTCCAAAAAATGTATGACTAGTGTTTTAAATTAAAATGTGTATTATATAATTGAATGCATGCCTGAATAAATGTATGCATATATGCAAGGAGTGTCCAAGGAGTTTGGGTACGGATATGGGGACGGCTTCAGAAGTATCCAGGTAACATCAATTGTTGATAAAATTATCAAATACACAACATGAATTTTCATAAAATATGTGGTTTACAATTAGGATTTTCTCCTGGAATTAAAATATTTCAATTTATTTTTAGTTTGCAAATAATAGGTCCTCATGGAATTTAAATATTATTGAAATATGATGCACATCTTGCCCAAGAGCTTGGCTCTGTCCTTGCCTGTGACATGTTTCATTAGAATGGTAGGGTTAGGATCCATCAATGCTATAAGCTTCCTCTCCTGAGATTTTAGCAAGCATCACTGTCATTTTGAATATTTAGATTGAGACCCAATATTGGACCATATTGATGTCAAAATGGTGCATCCAGAATCTAGTCATAGCTGATGGGTGCATACTCATTGTAAAGCGTACTAGTTGCATTGGAGTGCTCTTCCCTTTTTCTTAACCGCATTCTCCATAGGGTTCCAGAGAAGAACAGTGGCTCAATTGGTTTAGCTACAACCCTCCTTTTTTGACTGATTGACGCTCCTTATTTGCCCTCTGCTTGTGCTTCAGACCAATATCAGTTCCAGAACATGGATGGAACCATCCATTCGTCTAGGACCATCCCTAAGTTTTGTCATCCTTATTTGCCCTATGCTGAGCTGCTGCTACATTCTGTTACTCAGAAATTTCTAATTGTGAACTCAATTGTTCAGGGACAACCACCATAACGAAAATAAATGTCTGGTATATTGAATAACCAATTAACAGTTATGTTCACTTGAGACTGGTGATACAAACACGAGTATTCCGCCAACATAACAAAAATAAATGTCTGGTATATTGAATAATCAATTAGCAGTTATGTTCACTTGAGACTGGTGATACAAACACGAATATTCCGCCAACACCATAAAACAATGGATTACAGTGAATAATCTAACAGATTGAGAACTTCATAAGCTAGTGATTGTGAGCGACCCTTAGCCCATCTAGAGACGAAAGAGTCAGACTCACATATATAATCACCAAAATGTTTAATTCTGTTAAATAATATTGTGGAAAGGTAATATTAACTCAACCTATTATATCATAATTTAAATATATTCCAATAGAGTAGTCTTTTACATCTAACACTTCAAACACTTCAAAATACGTATTCTTGATGCACATGACAATTAAATAATTCTATTATATACTTCCCAATCCTAAAATAGGTACTTAAGGAGTGGATGTTTCCTCTCGGTAAAACACTAGATAGATTTGTAAAACTTGAAAATTTTAGTAAAAACTAAAAGGTCCCTAAAATCTAGTTTTAAGTCGATTTGTCATATGGTGCAGTGAAACACTAACTATATTGTAGATTCTTCAACCTGGTAGATACGTACATGAGATAAGTTTCCAATTCGCTACATATCTTATTGAATCATAAGATTCCGGTTGCAATCTTAGTTAAGATATTGATAATTATGCCAGTACATGTGTGCTTCAATAAATTTTTTGTTGTTGTTATATTGGGTTCAGGATGTAATAAATAATCATACATAAGGAATGTTATTATTGCATTTATGCTTCTAGATAAAGCCAATTTTCACATTAAATCACCATCTAAGCTTACACTTTAAATAACTAATGTGCTTATAAAGCATGCTTAATTTGTCTTTGGAATGTGCTTATAAAGCATGCTTAATTTGGGTTTGGAATTTCACTAAGTTTGTGAAGCAATTTTCCTTCATGTTCCTTCGAGAGGAAAATAATTTTGGTTTTTCTTGCTTGTCTATTAGTTCACAACAATGACAACTTAAGTTAATATCTCTCATTCAAGACCAACTTTAGGTATTTGTTTCCTGCAGGCACATGAATCTGCCAGTCCTTGAAAGGAAAAACTGCGTTCTTCCCTGGCTATTGTGTTTCTCAATGTTCTCAAGTATCAATGTTTTGTTAACATACTATGAGTAATTTTCAATAAGTTGTACCATCTTTGGTGAAGGTCACTTTTAGTGATATCTCAATCCAATCTGGTGTAGTTTTAGTAGAGAAGAGTAGTATTAAAATAAGTATGGAATTTTTTTATAAGTAAACTGGTACACCAGTTACATATTTGCACATAAAGCAGTTGCACATGCACTTGGAATTCTTTTATTCTTTTATTTTTATTTTTCTGTGTTAACATTATATGATGGCTGTTACCGATTCAATAATATGCTACACAATATTTGTCTATATTTCTGTATCTCTTGGTTTATAGTGACCAGTAGTTACTCCTTGTTTTGATTTCTATTGTAATCGTGTGTGCAAAGGGTGAACATGGTATGCAATTACATGTTGTCAGTTGGAACCTATGTTCATGAAAGATATGCTATCACATTTTGAAATGCACCAGCAGTGCTATTAAGTTGCATTTTCTAGCTTTTCTTGCTATTTCGAATATGTACATGTTATACATATTTTAATTTTAATATACATTTGTACCATTTGTAGTCAGTTTTCCTCGTATGTTGTTCTTGTTGAACATAACTCAAATGTGTCTTACTATAGTTAAAGAAATCTACTAGTACCTTATAAAAATCAGGATAAGCTGTGGGGGTCAAAAGAAAGGCAAGGCTCTGGTACTTTTATAACCCCCATATTGCATTGTATCACGATAGTCTTTGCCTTTGAGTCTGGCAACTTCCTCACCATTGAATTTACCTTTGAGTCTGGCAACTTCCCGGATTTCGCTGCTAAATTGACATGTTTATCATTCTACATTCTATGTTTTCTTGTCATGCATCCAAGTATAGTATTTTGTGAGAAAATTCCCACAGTTCAAGAAGCTTTATGTCCCAACAATTACAAGTTTCATTTTCCAAGAACGAGCTGTAGAGGCCAGTCAAAGAAACGGAGAACTTGTCTTCAAACTGATTTCCTGTTGACCGCTCATCTCCAGCTATTTCTCTTATTATCAAAATAGTTTTACTGATGCCTATAACTTTGTCGTCCTCACATTTCGTTCTGCCACCTTTTTGGTGGTTTTGACAGGAGAGGCTTCAGTTATTCTTGTTTTGGCCACCAAAAAAAGGGTCTCTTCACAGAGATAAAAGTGAAAAATGAGTGATGAATTTGGACTACAGTCTTGGTCAAATGCGCCATGCGCAGACTTGCACTTTAGGTTCCTCTAGGAGTTGATTGAACTCCTTGCGCTCTGCATATTTAGCTGCAAATGTAACTGGCTAGATTCTAATGTTGTTCTCTCCTTAGGGCCTTAGGTAATGTAGTTTTTGATGCGAGCTATCTTAGCCTTTACTGGTTATGAGAAGTATTGGAGAGGTCTCTAAGATGTGCCTTAAGCGTCCAAAAAGCTACTTAATGAGTATTGACACTTACAAATGTGTTAAAGTATTATTGATTATTCATTAAAAAATTTGCAGAATTGAAGTATACTATAATCCTTTTGAGAATTATTTTATAGATCATTTACTAAGAATTAAGGTTCTTAAGGAACATACACATATTGTCATAATCTTATGTAAGTTGTGTCATCAAGCACTCTGTGTCTGCCTCCACAAATTTTTTACACTTGCTTCAGGAATATGAGAACAATACAAGTTGAATACCAAGAGAGTCAGATTCTAGAATTCTTTTCACTTGCTTCAGGAATATGAGAACAATACAAGTTGATTACCAAGAGAGTCAGATTCTAGATCAACTATAAGATTAAAATTGGAGAAGGATATTTCACTTTTATTGACTGTTAAAATGGATTTCAAAGCATAAACACACAGTTCCCTCCCTCAAACATTCTGTTGGTATCTGGGGTTAGAATTGCCAAGCAGTTGGCAGTGATAGAAAGTCAAAATCCTTTTGAACGAAAATGGCTTTTCATGAATTGCTTGCATATCTTCACAGATAAGCTATTTACTTCTTTATTCATGAGATATTAACTCTAAATGATACGAACAGCTGAACCAATAATCCAATGAACTACGTTTTATACCTATTTCTTAATTTTGTCAAAATATGAGATATGTTATGTCTTATCCAGAGGTTAGTTGAGTCAACCATTTCTGTATTGATGCAAAAGTAACTAAAGTTTATGATCATATATTCCTGTGGAGCCTGTCTATGATATGGTTTACAAAATTAAGTCGACTAAATTAAACTGATCTTTGATCTAAATATAAAGCACAAGTTTATTGCATGATTACCACTTTCAATAGTAGAAAAGTAACATCATTGTCCTTTTCCCAGATGGATTTGATGGCACGTGAAAATTTGCTTCGTCTTTGCAATTTCTTAAGGTGGGCTCCTGCAGTTTCTATAATTGCTGAATATATCGCTTAGCTACCTACATAGTATACTCTGATTTGTTATAGCGAGAAATTATTTACACGTGCATATCTAATGCTAATATATTCGAGGTGGTTATTTCGGCTAGCAGTTTCAGTTCATTTTGAACTTCATATAACATATTTATTCTTTCTTCCATTTAGAGATCGGTGGGTCTGTACCAAGGTGACGCTAAAGTCAGCCACCACACAAGTATCTTTTACCTGCTAGCGGACATGGAAATTTTTGTGTTGCTCCAACCGACGTTTTTAATTATATGTACGGAGAATCTTGGTTTAGTCGTTGGCTCAATGCCTCTTTGCAGAATTTAAAAGCTTTTAAAGCTGAATCTATTCAATTTTGATAAATGTAAGCAAAAGTATAGCCAATAATTCTTATCATTTTTGTGCACGTGTTGCTTGCACTTCACCTATGTTTCTTGTTTGTGCCTTCTGATAAAACCGTCTGCCTTCTAGATTTCATTTTTATCCAAATACCGTGTGTATCCGTTGTAGTACTTATCTATCATAGTATTTCATGCTAGTATCTCAAGCCTGTACTTCGTTTCTGGCGTATCTCAATCTCTCTCATTCATCTCTGCTCCTATTCATATCATGCAGCACGCCTAATTAATAGGTGAATATATGTCTCTATTTTCTCCGCTTTCATGGAAGGCCATCTTTGTATTTAACTTGGGATATAAAGAAGCGCAGATGGATAGATGTATTACGCTTGACGGCTGTTAGCTGAGGATGCGGTCGCGCGGAGCAATGTTCACATACTGGTTCTTTAATGTTGGGGTGGGGGGTTGAAATGGTTGTATTGGAAACATGAGAACATTCGAGAAGCCTTTGTTGAGAGGGTACTGCATCTGCATGTATTCTGTGTTCTCAATGCCCTCCAAAGCTGCTTGCACTTTGTACAGTGAATCTGGAGTTGCTTCAAATTTATATGGCCAGCATTCCGCAAATCTGATGCATGTTTCTCTTAACTCCAAGACGATGACACGATATGCTGGCTGTTCATAACAAAGGGACGTTTCTCCCTCTTTCGATTTTCGTACTTCAGCTGGTGAAGAAGCATTGCATCTTCACATAATGAGAGAGTACTCATATAATTGTTCCTGGCTGCTTATCTCGGCAGGAAAATTGTACAAAATCACAAGCTTTTTCCCCCCCATGGCAATCCTCGGCTTGAAATTGTGAAGGAAGTGTTTTGTAATCTGCTAAAAGACTTAAAATCGAGATCTTCGTCATGACGCTTACCATGTGGCGGAGCGTTTCTTCTTCTTGAAAAGCGAACAAAAGGTTTTCGGTTGTTGAATAGGATTTGTCACCTGAGCCAAGCGTATTTTGCTCATCTTTAATATTAATAAATTTGGTGAGCTTTAAGTCACCGCAGTTTTACTCTCAGTTGCGAGGCCAACAACTCTTGCCAATCGTTTCTTGCATCAGATAGAGTCTGGTTGCTTGTGAATCAAGTCGTGTTCTCCCAGGGGTCTTTTATGTTTCACAGGGTACTGATTTTTGCCATCTGCAAATCTTCTGAACAAACTGAAGGACTAAAGTTGTCCAGTTATAATTATTCGATCTGGACACACACACACAAAAAAAAAAAAAAAAAAAAAAAAAACTGAAGGACTAAAGTTGTCCAGTTATAATTATTCGATCTGGACACACACACACAAAAAAAAACTTAGCTGTTGGTTTCGAAAGGAAGCGAGAACTATTAAGTTGGCAGCAGTTTGTTGCTTGTCTACAGAGTGATGTCTTTTTTATTTCTTTGCGGACAAGATAGGATTTCCGTTCATTGATAAGGCAAACCCTGGCGCATGATTAAGATTTAGGTACTTTAGGGTTACAAGGACTTTGGTGGTTATGTTGCATGTGAAGTTGTGAACATTGTGGACACACATTATTGAGGTTTTAGTTTTGGTGGTAATTGCAGATGCATTCTTTGCACCATAAAATGTCGGACACTTTAACTTAAAAATAAATAATTTATTAGTATTACGCCCTATATCGCCCCTCTTCGGCTAACCGAAACGTTAGTGGATCTATTTGCTATAGAATGATTTTATGTGACACCCACGTGACGGGTGCATATAATAGAGGGGCAATTGTTTGGATATCAGACGAGCTAAATGCTGATAAAAAAATTTTATAAGTAATAAGCGATTAAACCTTACAACATGTGGGTTGTACTTGCACTCTGCAAAATACCCTGCGGTTCCTTTCTCTCTCTGAAGGTGTTGCTTTGATAAAGCCTGGTACGTACTATGGTCCACTGCATAATTTCTCATATTGCATTGCGTTTTATTGAATGCTCTCTCATTGCAGTCTGTAGACATGATCGTTCTTATAGTTTGCTAGATTCCAGAGCACACTTCGATCATGTTGCTTATGAAGAATGGGATGGAGTACTGTTTGCAATATGGCAATTAATGCCTATGGTTTTAGTATTTTGATTCACATGCTCTATCCTTCAAATGATATCTAATCACTTCGCTAAGCTAGCTTTCCTTGCAATTTCAACCCTAATATCTAGGGTCATCCAAATTAACGAACCATGTTCTACCACCGACCCAAATATTACTCCCTTTATTACCTCCAAAGTCTTGTTACTATTTCTAATCCCGATTAATTAAACCAAGACAAAGCCAGCCAATGCTTAGCTAAACACGTGGACCGACGAAAAGTAGGACGAAGAAGAACGAGTATCGAGATCACTCGGTGCATGTCAACCCTAGTTGACTCTCAGATTTCGAGGCACCGTCGACAATGGGGGACAAACCCTCGGTCTTTGCTTAATTTCGTGTTTGTTTTGTGTTTCGTTAATTCTGGGGGGATTTGACTTGGAAACTATTTTGATGCATTGTAATCAGGAAAGCTTAATAGGACATTTAGGTTAAGGAGGAAGTTTTGCGGGGTGGTTGGGGGGCGGGGGTGGAGAGCTTGAACATCAACGCGGACTTGGGTGCTTGGACTTAGCGAGTGTAACTTTGCTTTGTGGAGTTAGTTCCTCCTCATGTTACTGTTGCCATTGAATATTATAATTGTAAGGTGCATTTAACGGCAGAGTAATATTGCATCATCATATAGAAAAAAAAGGGTTATTGTGAATAACACACCCACCGCCAAGACCCCACCCCCAAAAGAAGTTACAATTGTGGTGAATAGACCCTTACAGTGTTGACCTAGGAGCGAATACACCCCGTTAGTGAAAGCTTTCAACTCTTTTTTTAAAAGTTAAATTTTTTTTGAGGACCTATCCTCACCAAAAAAGCTATTAAGGGTCTACCCCACCCTTCCAACATTATAACAATTTTAGGAGATAAAAATTTTCATTCAGACCTAAAAATTTCATTTAGACGGTTTATTAAAAAAAATAGAATTGTAAATGGTCTGTTTGCAACTGGATGATACTACTACATGGTGTTTGTTTACAATTTATTGTTTAAGCTATGTTAATGTTGTGTTTTAGTATTTATTTTGTTAAGTTGTCCCAATTAGCCTTAGGTAGAATAAAAGGATGAGGGTTACGTTATATGGCTGATATATATATCTAGCATCAAGTCTACTTAGATCTCTATGAATTTTTTAAAAATTGGGTTGTAAATTTGACGAGGATAACTTAAATCTCGGCATTTTAACTTCGGAGTGGGAGACTCATTTTTCGTCCGCACCCGAAAAAGCCTTAAATAGAGTCCATAAGGACCATAACTTGCGCTATAGAGCCCATAACTTAGGCTTCATTTCGAGTAATGAAAGTGAAAGTATCATAAATGTCATAGAAGTTAACACTTATCATAAACGTGTTGAATTTTTGCATAACAATGGTAGGAACGTAGAAATATCTTGCTAAATTTAGAGTTGTCATTAAATTCTTAGTTTCACGTATGCATCATTATCAAACATTTATATTATATTTGATTACGACCTCATTCATTAATGGAACATGGACAATTGTGTTATACTCATCTCCTTGAAAATTAGTAATACCCAATTTACTCAATCATCTCAAGTTGTGGGAGTTTATTGTCTGGTCAGTTTCTTGATGTATTTAGAATACTAAGGGCTTGTTTGGATTGAGGGGAATGAGGGTGAAGGGAAGTTAGGGGAACCATTCACCTCCATTCACCTTGTTTTGGAACACTTAGGAGGTGAAGTTAATTCACCCTAGTTCCCCTTGGTTCACCCCTTAATAGTATAAAAATTGTTACCCCCCAAATTGGGGTGTAACCAAGGGGAAGAGAATTCCCTTCACTCAGTTTCCCTTAACTTTCCTTCACCCCCTACAAATCCAAACAAGCCCTAAATCAAAGAATGAAATTTCAAATTGTAGTTCTTCGTGGAACACATTATCTTGCGGTTCTTCTTTTTTACACTACAAAATACATTAATTATATCCTTATTTGTTAGATAACTTAGGTTTCCTATTGCTATTAGCCCCAGTTGATGCGCACAGCACTGCGGATCATGTCAAGACCATCCGCATGTGAGTGGGCAATTTTGAACCACATGGTAGGAAGTAATTTTTATCGTTCTTCTTATTTATCCTGGAGATAGTTCTGATATAATCAGCACTCGTTAATATGTATGTTTAAAAAAAAGTTTTTAGCAGTACATTTAGAACAAGAAATTGTTGAGTACTCGAAAATAATTTTATGTGCACCAAATAATACCAATGCTACTTTGCAAATTATACTCTTCAAAAAAAAAAAAAAAAAAAAAACTTCGTTTGGGAACCGGAACCCCAAAAACCACCGGTTATGGAAGAAGGCACCCCCCATACACGATACACCCGCTGCAAGGCAAGCTACGCCCTACCGTGCGCATAACGTGGTCCCAAATATCCACGTCCGCATCTCTACGTGGCCCTCTTCTCATCCTACACGTGTGCAATTATTGGAGCCCTGCGGAGCACCACACCCTGACACCGCGCATGTGCCGGTGGTCACGTCCACCGGCCGGGGCCTCCCCACCGTCGGCGCCGCGTCAAATGTCCCGCGAAGCAACGTACGCAATCCTCTCCTTTAACCTGTACCTCTTCCTCGTACGCTACGTCTTAACTCAATCAATTAGATAAACAATTGGGTATTTTAAGCTCATAATCGCGGTCCGGTCACGTGCAGCTGCGTTATTGCGCACACGAGGGAGCACGTGCGTTGCGGGGGACGGTGTGTGGTGGATTCGCCTCGGGATCCCCAGTCCCCAGTCACGTGATTCGATGCTCTCCTTTGCGAGGAGGCTGCTCCTGTCCTCTCTCTCTCTCGCTCTCTCTCTATACACGGTGGCAGACTTTGCACTTGCTGCGGGCCCCACCTATGCGGTCACTGCCATACAGATGCCACGTCTGACTGGGCTGAGTCCGTACGGACTGAGGGAATGATCGTACGCCGTCAATGTCTTGAGGGGAGAAGATCTGACCGTTCGATGGAGGGCCGGGACCATGACAACTGGATACAGTTGGATGAGAGGGGGAGTGGTCCCCACCGTCACGTTAAAAAAAATAATCTTTTACAGTAGAAAAAACGGAGTAACGGAGGAGAGGTGGGGAGGTGGTCCCCACCGTCCCCGACACTGCACGTGTTTTCCACTTACCCCCTCTGGCCACAGTAATGTCAGTGTAATTAAGCGATAAAAAAAAAGTGCATTTTTTTTAATTTTCAAGTTAAATTGCCTACAATCTCTTTGATATAAAATTTCAGTTAACGTTTATCATATCTAAATTTGTTGATTAGTATCTGCTATCTTTACTTGTGTGAGAGCAAATGGAACCTGTAATCACAAGTGTTTATAATTAGTGTATTTAATGAATATGTGAGGAAATTATGTTTAATTTAACACTTTCTTAAGATATAATGTTTTCTAGCTGATTGAAACGTATGCAAACTATGTAGAATATGATGTGTATTATAACGCAAAATAATGAGAAGGATTACATCTAGTTCGCGGCATAAACTGTATGATATATATACGGGAAAGAATCGAGTGCACTTAGTCCACAGAATTAAACGTGCATAAAAAATATACTTTAAATTATTGTATAAATCATGAAATCTAATGTCTAAGAGTTGATATCCTTTATATCCACATTAAATGTCATGAATAAGTTTCGTTCCATTAGTTATTGCAAATAATAGCGATATTGACTCCGTTAAGGAGTTCTAGAGAGAAATATGGTATTCTTTTATCGTAGAAAAATAATTACATCCCGTTTATTAAGCAGGAATAGAGTCAAATGACGAATATGGAATGAATGTAGAAATAAAATTAATGCGAGAATTGAATGTTCATTCCCATTCTTATGTCTGGGTGCGATTAGAGAACTAAATTGGAATATTTTCAAGAACGACATATACAAAATTTATTTTATTATTTTTATTATTCTCACTTAAATGGAAATATTAATTATTTGATAACTCATTGGGAATAACAGTTCCTCATTTCTAGCATCGAAAAACACATCACGTTCTGGATACACAAACGGGAAGCTAGAATTACATTCCCGCTCGTTCCCGCGCACCGAAGAAGGCTTAACAATTAGAGTACATCCGCTTCTCAATCACAGCCACTTACGATTTCCTTCGTACAAAACACGAAAAAATGCAAGTGATGTGGACATGATAAGGAGTAGTGGAGGAGATCGAACTAAAAGATCCTCTTAGGATTTAATTACAGCCGCTAATTGCTTAGGGGGCGTGACCGACTACGTGCCGTCATTAATGTTTTTAAGTACGAAGGTAAAAAAAACGAAAGGGGGCCTCACATGGGCGAAGCCTGAAGGGTGAGGAAATTATGGAGGAGAGAGAGAGCGGACGAAGGCGAGACCAACCAACTTAAAAGGCCGTGGGATGAGAGCTGGGAGCGGATGGGTTACAGTACTCCTCCGCTCACATTCCTTCAGTGAGCGGCTAACTTTAGCTCCTTGTTACTGAAACCTCCATTATTAGTGATCGAGCTCGCAAACAAAAGAAGGCAAAGAGTTTTTTTCTTTTTTTTTTGGGAAGCGGAACTGAGCCCCCCAACCTCTTTAATTTCATCCCTCTATTAATTTCTTCCGCTTCTTCTCTATATTACTGACGATGGCGTCGGAGTGGGAGCTGGGAAATGGCGTTGGGGTTCGTTACGGGTGGGCCCCACGGCCAATTCCCCGACGTATCTGTACGGCCTCCCCGTCGCCGACAACGCTGGAGGATCGACAGACCTGCTTGATCTGTCGAGCTGGCCACGGGACAAGTCCGCCGCCGCCGCCGCCGTCGCCGCCTCCGTTGAGGCAAGTTTGATTCCGAAGCAAGGGGCTCCGAGTTTCATCGGGGGACATTTCGTTAGGGGAGTATATCACTCCGTGTCTAACGTCAGTAGCTTCGCCGACGACATCTACGTACCTGTAAGTTCTTCCCTGCAGATTACTATCTCTTGAGTAAAAAAAAAGAGTTCTAATCTAATTATCGAAAGAAATTGCTCAAACTGTTCGTTTATTGTGGAGACGGTTCATCTTAAATTTCGCATCGAAACTCTTTACGCTGTATATGGTGAGTTTTAATTATGAAATTTTGCATGAAAAACTTTTAAACCGTGACGGGGTTATACTTAATTTCGAATTTTGACCATCTCTATTACTTAAAAAATAGTGCCGAGACAACTACGTACATTACAAACTACGTTCAGTCTTTTTTAGTGTTAATTGTTTAAGAGACACCGGTTCGTTGTAAATTAAAAATGAGTAGTTTTTACACTGATTTTTTTAGTAATGGAGAGGGTCCAAATCATAATTTTCTACTCGAAAAAGTTCACGAATCTATGGTGAGTATTAATAAACAGGAGAAGAGTCTAAATGCAGCCAATTATATGGAAGAGAGATCATATGAAATTTACCCAAATTTATTCTGTATACGATACGGGGGAAATTTAAAAAAATAAAAAATTCAAAATTTGTTTGCAGAGCGAAGAAGCCGCAGAGCTAGAATGGCTATCAAAATTCATGGAGGATCCTTCACCCGACGCTCCTACCCTATCAATTACAGCAGATCCTACACCAACACGCCTCCCCGCCGCGCCGCCGACCGCCCAGATGGGGCCACACAACCGCTCCCCCGGGCGGGGAGGGCCCCGCTCCAAGCGCTCGAGTGGCCGCCGCCGCCGCCGTCCTCCTAACCCCACCTCGGTCCTCGTCCCCCTACGACCTTCACTCGCCCGCGCAAATCAGCATCCCCCGCGGAAAGTCCTCGCGCCCTTCCGCCGCCGCCGCAGGAGGGCAGACGGCGGGGTCCGGCGCTGCATCCCACTGCGCATCGGAGAATGACGCCCGCAGTGAGGACCGGGCACAATGGGCCCCCGAAGACCCCTGCAACGCCTGCGGTGTCCGGTACAATCGGGCCGGCTCGTGCGGAGTACCGGCCGGCCGCAGAGGGCCCCTTCGTGCTGACTCAGCCTCGAACTCCCCCATCGGAAGGTGATGGAACTCCCGGCGGCAGAAGGAGCAGATTCACGTCCTTCGTCGTGATCAGCTGATCGGATGATGATTATGCTTGTGTTGTTGTTTTTCTTTTTTTCTTTTTTATTTGTTTGGTTAAAAATCGTAAAAATTGAGGGAGCAGGGGATGGACGTCTGTGTTATTTGTGGGAATATTTTTTTAGGGTGCAGGTGGCCACGTGATATGCTGCTGCTGTTAGCTGGCGGGGGTTTGAAAATTGAGGGGATGGAGAGAATCGAAATAAAGGTTGTCCTTGGGACGAGAGTTTATTTTTCTGGCGCCCGTGAAAGCGATGGAGAGTTCAGAGTCAATTTGGTGTTAAATGTTTAGCTTTTTATTTTTCAGCAAAATTTTAAGAACAAATAAAATCCATAATAAGCTTAACTACTATTTGAAAATAGAAATAGCTCTGGATTCACTTCAAATTTAGGGAAAATTGTGTCAATGCTCTAAAAAAAATTCATATGTTACAGTCCCTTTATTTTTTTCACATGTGGTTCAGCCCCAAGAAATATCACATCATGTACTGCAGTTTTTTTTCACGTAATTATCATGCCAACTAAGCATAAAGAGAGAGGGACGAACATAAAAACCCAAAATACCTTCATTTCCGCCTCCTTCTTCGTTCTCTCTAGATCTATCATGTTAGGTCCAGTTTGGTTGATGTTAAGTCTAATTTAAAACATATTAAGTCTAATTCAACATGTTTTTGAAATTACCCTAGGGGGGGGGGGGGGGTGGTTT